GTCCATGAGTTTTCAAACTTGACATTTTAACCCCCAAGGTATGGGTTTAGTAGCATTTCGGTCCCTACCATCCGCTTTATGTTAATTAACAAACCAGAAACTAATGTGGCACTTTTTTATTATTATTATTATTTTTTTTTACTTTTAAAAAAATAACCCACGGGGAAGATAATGGGGTTTCTGAACACACACTTGAAATTTGTTTAACTGTGCACTCTGAAAAAGAAAATCCTTGGTAAGAAACCACAGTGATGATTGATGGCAATTGGAATCCAAATTTCACAGCAGAGGTCTAGTTGAGCAAGAGTTTGAAGATTGATGGAAATTGGAATCTAAATTTCACAGCAGAGGTCTAGTTGAGCAAGAGTTTGAAGATAACCAACTTAAGTTAAAGATTAGAAATAAGGATTATAATAAAATAGAAAAACTCAGACGCTTGACAGTTCCAAAAGTTACTCTATCAAGCCTCTCTTTTCACATGCGAAAGCAAGGTTTGTAAGCAGTTGGAAATCACCAAAAGTTGTGCGGTGACATAAGACTCCCTAGTTTTTTTGGAAAAAGAAATTGTAGGCACTCAATCTTTAGGGAATCATAGCAGAGGAGGTGAATCAGAGAATCCTAAGGCCCTTACGACAACATGCTGGGTCTGTTAAAAAAAGGTAAGGAAACTAGGATCACTTTGTTCATCCACATTCATTTTAGTTTGAAGTTGGGTATACATCATAAGTAAAAAATAGTCGAGGATTATCTAGATGAATGTTGGCACATCATTGCTATGGGAGCTAAGCTTGAATGGAAATAACAGGATTCCCTTGGATAAATCTTAAGTTAGGGAAGAAATTTGAGCACTAGCTAAACTTTTATTATCGTCTTGGTGGTACACTAGACTGACAATTTTTATAGTGATCCACATTTCAAAATCTCTCTTGGAGTCGTTGCATTGTAAGTTCCTAGAGTTGGATCTTTGGCCACCTTTTTTTTTTTTTTTTATCTTTTATACAATCAATGAGAAGTCCTCTCTGACCAAAAATATTATCTATACATATTGACAATTCTAAGTTTCCCTATCTAAATTCATATGGAAAAAAGTTCGCAAATATTCCTATTTCTACATATAAGTAAAAGTGAGTCATATCATCAACTTACTAATGTACCAATGATGCTACTGGAAGCAACAACTTAATAGAGTACCAACAACTTATTAGAAAAATACAAAAAGCTATAAAAATTGGGTAGGTATTCCAATCACATAAGAAAGGTGACCAGAAGAAGACAGATTAAGATTAATAAACGTTGTGGTAAAAAAATACCTATAGCTAAGAGAGTAGGTTTCTTTGAAGGCCTGTCTTCAGGAACCAACTTCTTTCTTTGCTTTATGTGCAAATACACAGGATTTCCAGTCCTCTCATAGTTCCAAACTACAAAATCCTTCCCAAAAGCTAGAAATGTATTCAAATCAATGAACAAACCACCTTCTGATCTCTGAAACTCAAAAGAAAACAAACATCATAAGACAGTGGCATAGAAGAAAAGCTTCCCCAGACAAAAAGTGAAGGTCGTCATAAAAATGTATGGAAAGCATCTTGTTGCTTTTGGACAAACAATATGAAGGCAAAGGCATAGAAGAGTCCCTGGAGGTGACCAAGGTAAATGTTACTGATCCAATATTTTCGTACATATGGAAATAAGAATGTCATTTATATTCCTTGATCTGCATATAATGTTTTTCTATTCAAGCTAGGAAAACTATGAACAATGTTAGGTTGAACATATTCTTGAATCTTAGCCGGGTATTTTGCAGGCTTACTTGTTCTGTTGTTCACAATGAAACAACCTTTAACGTTCTTAATATCTTACTACAGATTAAATCTAACCATATATTTTATTCATTTGAACTATATTCACGTTTTTTTTTTTTTTTTTGTCCACATTAAGAAATGGACTGTATATATATGAACTAAAGTATCTCTCACTCACTGTATGACTGAATTGCATGGACAAATCTCCGAACAATCAATAATGACAAACAAAACAAATACAGTCACTAAAAAAGTAGAGCTTTTACGAATTGACACTTGAGCGAAGGCATTAACGACTATAGCTTCAAAACAACTGCAATCCAGATGTTCAAATCAAATAACCATCCAGATAAGCAAAAATCCACGAAAAGGCCAGAATCGCTACTTCCTTGAGAACAAAAACAGTTCTGAAGCAAACACTCAACAAATACAGAGCTTCTCCCAACCGAACACCGAAATTCCAGCGCAGTAAAACAAAATGAAGGATTCAACAGAGAAAAGACAGTTAAAACGACGACGGAACACACAAAAAGAAGAAGATAATACCGGCGTGTCGAAAGACAAGCAGCATTCCTGCTTGTAGATACGATTGGTAGGCTCCGGAATCCGAACGCGCGAGAGATTAGATCGAAGCAGGTCCATTGCGTCGGTGATTTGAGCGAAATTGGAATGAATATGGAGGATTGAGAGAGTGCAGAAAGAGGAAGAATATATTCCTTTCCCTTTGCCCTAAGCTGAAAGAGAGAAAAAAACGAAAGAAACTGAATACGCTGTTGCTCACACTGCGGAAGTAGCGGGGAGAATGATGAGGAACAGAGCTTTTATATGCCGCGCGATTTTTCCATTTTCTTCGTCTCCTCGTTTTCGTTTCTTATTCTAGAAAGATACGCCCAACGCAAGACCGAGAAAGGAAAGCTTAAAAATTCAGTAATTTTATTTTTAATTTTAATCCCTTTTTAATTTACTTCATTTCATTTTTAATAAATCTTATATTTTTTTTTTTTTTTAATAACAACCTTAACAAATGAGAAATATAAATAGGATTGAAAGTGCGATCTTCTTCGCAACGTTTGAATATAAACTACCAATTAATATCTAAATATAAGAGAAAAATATAAACTAACGAAAGCGTGAATTTGAAATAACTCACTCCATAAATAATATCTAAGATATATTTCATAACTAATTATTATTATATATATTATAAATATTATATTAAAAAAACAAATTTAAAGTTTAAAATAATTAATGAAATTTTTAAAGGAAGTTTAAATATAATTTTTAGATTTTTTTTTAATATAATAATATTATGGAAACTTATTAAAACTTTTGAAAAATTAAATGTATTTTTTTAAGACAAAAAATACAAAATTGTGGATTTTTTTAATTAGTTTGACTAATTTTTATAAATAAAATTTAAATTTTAAAAATATTTTTTTATAATTTAGCACGTATAAATACATGCATTTTCATACATGGAGTACCGATATATATATATATATATATATATATATAGATATATATATATATCTTTTGTAACAAGTAAACTCATGATACGGACCGATAGATGTTCAGACTCTTACCTGAAAGTCATATATCTATATCATAGTTGCTTCTCGTTTTTCATGAATGTGTCTCCCCTCTGCTTATGTGAGTTTGACCTGCCTTTGACGCCGCTTGCTTCTGACTCCCTACGAGACGTTTGACGACCTGACTTTTTCGAAGGGTCAGGGGACATGGGAACCTCAGCTCATGCATCGGTTTACCAAAAGAACCAATGTTATCCCACTCCCTCCTATTCAAAAATCTCTCTCTATATATATATATTAAATTAATAAAAATATTCGTAAATTTTATACTTTTCACAATTATAACTTTATAAACCGTCAATAACACATGAAAAGTTAAAAATACCTACGAACTACGATATTTCATGAGTAGTATTAATATTTTTAATATTTACTTCGCTCGTTTGATACCCTATTAATCCTCTATTTTCATTATTTAATCTTTAAAACTTTACGGAAATAACATTTGTCCATATACTAACTGTGACACACACATGATACCGATGGTTCCATTCATATATTAATCGTAAGTGTATTTTTTAATTTTTTTTAAAAATGTTTAAGAGCGTTAATTAAACTTTCGAAATTTTAAAAGTATTATAAAAAGGTTTTCAAGTATTTTAAAAAATAGCCCCAAAAAAAGTCCCATGAAGATACGTTAATTAATAAAATTGTAACGACCCAAATCCACTATTAGCAAATATTGTCTTCTTTGGACTTTCTCTTTCGGGCTTCCCCTCAAGGCTTTAAAACGAGTCTAAAAGAGCGCCAGCGATGATGCTAAGCCCTAAAGGGGGTGGATTGTGATGTCCCACATTGGTTGGAAGGAGAACAAACCACCATAAGGGTGTGAAAACCTTCCCTAGTAGATGCGTTTTAAAACCTTGAAGGGAAGCCCAAAAGGAAAAGCCAAAGAGGACAATATCTGCTAGCGGTGAATCTAGGTCGTTACAAATGGTATTAGAGCCAGACACTGGACGATGTGCCAACCTTCTCGTTGTTCCCCGAAGGGGGTAGACATGAGGCGGTGTGCCAATAAGAACGCTGGGCCCAAAGGGGGTGGATTTGGGGGCGGTCCCACATCAATTGGAGGAAGAAAAGAGTGCTCTTCGTTGTTTCTCGAAGGGGATAGACACGAGGCGGTGTGCCAGTAAGAACGCTGGGCCCAAAGGGGATGGATTTGCGGGCGATCCCACATCAATTGGAGGAAGAAAAGAGTGCATTGAAGAGGGGTGGATTGTGACCTCCCACATTGGTTGGGGAGGAGAACGAACCATCATTTATAAGGGTGTGTAAACATGGAAACATTCCCTTAGCTGACGCGTTTTAAAGCCCAAAGAGAACAATATCTGCCCAAAGAAGACAATATCTACTAGCTGCGAGTGTATATAGAAATTAATGGCACAAAAACATATATACATATTTATGAATTATGAAATTTTAATTAAATACACTAAAATATGCTTATGGAATTATAAATTAGATTAACCCATAAGAGAGAGAGAGGATATAATTAATTACTTATTTATAAGATAATTAAGTCATCCATTTTAGGGATTAGAAAATTATAGACATTTATATTATTAGTTTAAAAGATATTTTAACGGTGAAGCCAGACGAGGCGCGCCCTATATCCTCGCCCGCGCCCAGCGCTCCAAATCTCCAACGTCATCCACTCGTCTCCTCCATGAACACAACACCAACTGTTCTTCAAGTTCAGATTCTCATTCTCAAATTCCATTAGACTTTCTAGCCTCCAAAATGCCTCGCTAAATCCTCGCAAACTGCTCAGAGATTCGAGTTTTGAGTTTTATGTCAAATGGAGTCCATCGTTGTAACCAAATCCAAGAAGAGGAACAAATTGTTTCCGTGTTTCCGAGCGGCGGCCTCCGGTAGCCCTGTCGGCCATGGCGCTCCAGAGGAGCAGGTTTTTCCATTCATGACGGTGAGAGACAATGTGCTGCCGGTGGATCGAGGCGATGAAGATTCCAGTCGCTGGAAAAAGAAAGGCGGTCGCGGTGCTTGGTCGCGGGCGATTAGGGCTGTCATATTCGGAACTTCATTGGTTTGTCCGCCGATCTAAAACGCCTCTTGAAATCGAAATGAAACGCATCAATTTCGTTCTATGTTCTTCTTTTTACGCGACTGATTTACTTCGATTGTTCGATTGATTTTTTACCGACGCGATTTCCGGATGTTGTTTGTGTGTTACAGGCAAAGAAGATTGCTAAAAGGAAAGCGAAACATTATCAAAATTCGAAGGAGTCTCAAAGGCATCTAGCTCCGTCCTGGTTTAGCAGCAGATCAAGAAGTGGTTCAGATCTAAATTACCGCAACTATTCTACCCGTAGTTCTGAGCCATTTTCATCCCCCTCGTTCTACAGTTCGTCTCCTTCCTCCACGGAAAAAAGCGACTCATCATTTCGACTCTATCCAACTGCATCGAATCGACTATACACACAGATTAATTTCAGAAAAATCTTCAGCGGTTGGTTTGTGCTACTGGTATGTCTTCTAAGCTTGGTTTTATGGGGGAAAACCGGAGCTATTATCTGCACTTCGGTTTGGCTTCTCTGTTTGTACCGCTGGAGGTTCAGATTCAGGTCACCGGACGACAAGGCCAGTACGGTGGCGATGAGTTCCGGCGAATACAACGACATAGAGATCATGGAAGAATTTCTGAAGCGAGACCGTTTAGCTGCTCGGAATTCAACCTTACGCATTGATTGATCTATAACAGCGAAAGGGCGCCAATAAGGTTCTAAATGGCGTTTCAAAGCCGATTTTTGCATTTTTTCATTACAAATTTGAAAAACGTCATTGTCGATTTTGTTCATCACAGACGTTAACGAAAAATCAATTAAATAAAAACTACCAAACTTAATTTGTACAATTATTACATTAATTTTTTTTCTCTCTCATAGAAAATCGCAATGTAAATATGTTTAGTAGGGGGATTTGAACCGTCTAGTTGGGTTCAGATTAATAAATCTTTATTTTTCATACAATTGTAGAGGTAAAGATTTTCATTTATCAACAACACATGTATTTGTAATGAAAGTCAAAGTATCATATTTGAAAAAATTATGTACTTAGAAGTCAATTTACAACATCGAGCGAACTGTTGATATGGGGTCGAAACGAAGGTCAATCAACTACCACAAACGTTGGCCTACAACTAAATCTTGAGTTGGTCTGGTGCTCCGACCACATACACTCCAAATTAAAGGCAATATTAAGTTGGAATCGGTAGTACCTTTATGAACAATATTAAGTTATGGGGTCGAATCATAACTTTCTTGTTTGGTTTAGCGAAGCCAACTGACAAAAATTGCGGTTATATAGACTATCATTTAATTAAATATATGAATTTAAGAAAACTAGTCTATTGACTTGTTGGTATGTTAAATATAATTGTTCTCCTTCTTAACCCATGAAATCTTACAATCCACTCCTTCTACGGCTTAGCATCCTCGCCGACACTTATTCTCCTCTACATCCGATGTGGGATCTCACAATCTACCCTTCCCCCCTTCGAGATCCAGCGTCCTCGTTGGCACATTGCTTGGTGTTTGGCTTTGATACCAATTGTAACAACTCAAGCTCACCACTAGCCGCTATTGTCCTATTTGGGTTTTCCCTTTCGGGATTCCCCTCAAGCTTTTTAAAACGCATATGCTAGGGAAAAGTTTCCACACCCTCATAAAGAATGTTTTGTTATTCTCCCAGCTCACGTGGGATCTCACAAATCCATCCCATTCGGGGCCAAACATCCTCGTTGGTGTCACAATCGCACTCTTGATGGCAGCGGACTTGCGATTGTGCAACACTCACTTTCCAACGACAAGTGAGCTAAGTCAATTCGTTCTTACATCGCCTACGGCCAAACAACGTATGCTCGAGCTTCTAGCCTTAGTTTAAGAAGGTTTTAGAAAATGAGGGCATAGAGAGATTTTTTAAAAAGAGATTTTGAAAGGGTTATATATGCAAGCAATAGAGTAACAACAACGGCTCACAGTATATAACTCTTGGTAGGGAGAAGTTGACAACTTGTCATATCCTCTATAGTGAGACCTTTCATGTCTGGCAAGCCTAGACATGATTTTTCCGAAACTTCGTATCCCTATAAATACAAGAGTAAACACACTAGAACATGAAAAGACGGGTTTGGCTTCTCATGGGCATGCGCCCATAGCCAATACGCCTTGGACAAGCATGACCACGACAGCACTCGTTCTTCTCTCTACTCAATGTGGGATCTCCAATCCACTCCGTTTGTGGCCGGCGTCCTCGCCGACACTTGTTCTCCTCTCCCATCGAGGTGGGATCTCACAAATTAGGATAATCAACAAAAAAAAAAAAAAAAAAAAAAAAAAAAAAAAAAAAAAAAAAAAAAAAAAAAAAAAAAAAAAAAAAAAAA